TGGTCTCCCATGTGATTCTGGATTGTCAGGTTGGTAATTAGCACTAACCACCACAGCCCAGCTAGTGAGCCTTTGTGTCTCTTTTATTGTTGTTGACACAGGGAGACGAGTGAAAACCAGTGAGTCTAATTAGGGTTGCTTGCATAGAGCATAGTGGAGTTATTTACGGGGACACAGACGATTTACACCACTGACTAAAAACTCCTCCCCTCCCCCAGCGGCCATTACCTTCCAGGGGCTCTTGAGGAAGAGCTAACTGTTCAAGGAACTTTAATCCCACAGCCGAGGCACTCAGTCGCTTATTCTGGGTGAAACAAACCAGTAAGGGACAGCCACCATTTACTGAGCACCTACTACACATCCTCTCCTTTAATTTCACAATAATCCTCTGAAATGGAGACCTCCTTTTACAAAAGTGGAAACCGAGGCAACATGCAACAATACACGTTCAAGGTCACGTGGCCAGGAAGAAGCCCATCCAGTTCTCTTAAAGCTCAAGGCCAAATCCGCCATACCAAAGAGACATCGTCTTTTCCTCAGGCTCACTCATAAAACCCTGGTGACCACGTTGAACACGCTCCTCAAGGGGGCCTACATCTGACTCCCACAGTCCCATTATTGGCAAAATCCACAGAGCTCTGTCCCTATCCCACCCCCTCCCCACCCACACCCACCCCCATCACACCCCGCCCCTACACACCTGGCTGCCGAGGGCTGAGCAGACAATGTAGGTGTGGCAATGAGTAGGGCCAGGCTGACACAGAACCTGTCCTACTGGGAACAGGAGTAAGGTGGCCAGGCCCTGTGGCCAGAGCTGTGAGCATGCCCTATGCTTCGGGCCTGGTGGGCACAGAAACCAGGAGTAGCTGGGGCAGACTCAGAGGATGCACCTGTGCCCAAGCAGGGCGACCATCAAAGAAGATGGTCCTGCGGTCTCAGTGGGACTTCTCCTGCCCCGACCTGCCACCTGGCGCCTGGCAGCTGAGGCCTCTGCCCCCTCTCTTCCCCATGTGGAGATGGCCACCCTTCCTCTCTGATGAACAGACTTATAACAGGGCTAGTGATGCCAAGGACCCATACACCTCACAGTTGGAGGTCCTGGTATTGGGGGGGTATGGCCATCTGTGTGTCTGCATAGTTCAGAAATGACTTGCCACTTGCGGCAATTCTGAGTTGGCCTGGGTGGGGTCTTACGTTCTATGTATGCGGGAGCAGCTGGGACCGGCACACCCAGGACTGTGTTGCACCATGACAGATGCCTTGGCAAGAGCGGCTGGAGGAGCCAGGGAAGGTTGGGCCTCTGACATCACGTAGCCATCACCCAGCAACAAGGACTAAGCTGCTCGCTCTACTCAGCAGCTGGATGCCAAGAAGAGGGCACAAAACCAGCAAGGCCTTTCAAAACATCCTGTTGCCCAACGTGGGGCACAGTGGGCTGCAGAGTGAGTTCCAGGACAGCCAGGGCTATGTAGAGAGACCTTGTCTCAAAAATACGAAACAAAAACAAGCAATAGCAAAAGCGGATCATTAGAACCAGCTCTGACTTACAGAAATGAACGGTAGATTCCACTTCTTGATAGAAAAAGTGCCTACAGGGGTTATTGGCAACTGTTTTTGCAGACAATCTGCCACCAAAAAAAAAAAAAAATACAAGCAGACTGTTGTAGAGACCTTTCTGCCTTTATTTCTCCTTATCCATGCCTGGAATGTAGGTGTGATGACTTAAGCAGCCATCTTGTGTCCATGAGGCAACCTGGGAGATGCTGCCCACTGAGGACAGGAGAGAAGGAGAAAGGTTTCCCCAACAGAGGATCCGTCACACCAGGTCAGACCCCTTCCAGAGCTACCTGACACACACACAAAGGTTATTTGGTTTCTCCATCATACAAAACGCAGTGTGCTGCGATGCAAGTGTGGACACCTACCAGAAGGAATCAAAGGACGGCCCACATTGCAGCGTTTCCTGGTTTAAACATCTGTACCTAGACACTGGGGCTATTCGGATCCTACAGTGCTTACCTAGCTCCAACAAAGCCCAGGCGTGACCCCTAGCACCACGTAAAACCGGGCGTGGTGCACATCTGCAATCCAGCCCTCGGGAGGTAGAGGCAGGAGGATACAGAATGTGAGGCCTAGCCTGAGCTACAAGAGGCCCTGTCTCAAAAACAAGCCGAGCTGAAGAGACAGCCCAGCAGTTACGAGTGACCATGAGCAAACACAAGGGACTGAGTTTGGATCCCCTGCATCCACAAAAATACCTGAGTGCTGCGGCATGCACTAAAAAATGCCAAGTGTGTGGCATGGGACAGAGACAGGGTCCTGGACTTATTAGCCAGGTAGCCAAGATGGAACAGTAAGCGAGAGACTCAAAAAAAAAAAAAAAAAGTGAAAGGGCTTGGGAGATGACTTAGTGTTTAAGGGCCCGGCTGCTCTTCCAGGGAACCCAGCTTTGACTCTTCAGCGCTCCATAGCAGCTCACAACCATCTGTAACTCCAGGTCCAGGAGATCCGATGTTCTCTTTTGGACTCCTTGGGCACCAGGCATGCATGTAGTGCACAAACATGTAGGCAAACACCCCTACACATTAAAAAAAAATCTTTACAATAAAATAGGATGCACAAGTGATTGAGGAAGCCATCTGGACCTCAACCTCTGGCCTCCAGATGTGCAGGTGAATGCACCTGTACCCATGTACGCACAGGCATCACACACACTCGCTCATGAGTACAAGGTCATCTTCAGCTACATAGCAAGTTCAAGGCTAGCTTGGGCCACATGGATGATATAATAATATATATTAGCTCTAATCCTGAGTAGCTGTGAACTTTCATAATAGTAAAACACATTCCAAGTCGAAGGTTTGGTGCTGAGGTTTGGGGAAGCCTGGGCTCATAGGAGAAGATTCAAGGCAGCTCCTATTCTTTTATGTACGTGCTGTTTGAGGATGGACTCCCGTACAGCCTTTCAGCCACAGTGGAACTTGTGAGCCGGCTCCTGGCTTGGCACTGCTTAGCGGGGGAACAGCACGCTAAGTTCAGCCCAGGTAATCGAACACACACCCGCCTCCCACGGCTTTCTCCCCTCTCATCACCGATCTCTACTGCCACCATCTGAGTAACGACCTCTCCTCCCGAATTCTCACAACAGGCAAATATCTGAAGCAAGAACAGGTGTGCACGGGGAACCCCACACTGCCAAGTCAGGCAAGGGCAACAAGCTGGGGCTTGCAGACGAGAGTGCGGCACACAGGCATGGCTCTGCCGTGACCCTCAAGCAGCCGCACTAGGGGAGGGTGGCCGCCCAGCAGAACAGATTTCTTTCCCAGTAGCTGAACTTGCCTCCGCTATTTTTTCACTCGTTTTAGTGTAAACTTTGGCAAAACTTTTGCATATATTTCAAGTTATTGAAATTTTTTATTGCCCCCATCTATTTTCAAAGAGCAGTTAGCTATCTAAAAACAAATGGGCCCTTTCTGAATGCATTTAAATATAATTAGAGAGGTACGGCTGCTGCACACAGTATTACTGAGACTTCGCGTAAACAAATTATTCTTTACGCTGTTTGGCAAGATCTTGGGGTCCTGAAGTCTAATTTTTAACATTAATGGTTTTTTTTTTTTTTTTTTTAAGGAATACCCCGGGGCACACAAAAACACAGCACCTGGCAGCCTGCCTCCAAATCCCGTAGAGCTTGACGTCTTCCCTCGCGGTCCCGCTCGGAGCAAACCTGTTGCCTGCGCGCCGGGCTTCTACTACCCAGGCCGGGATGACCGGCTGACGACGTCGGTGGTAACGGTGGACTCGGGATCTGCGCCGACGACTCCCGCTCTCCCGGGCCGCGCTGGCGGGTCTAGCCGGCTGCTCTCGGGCTGTTCCCTGATCTAACCTCCCACCCCGCTGCACGTTCTCTTCCTGTGTGCAATCTGTCAGTTTCTGCTCCCATCCACTGTGTCTGGAAACGTCCCCGGAGCAGGTCCGTATCTCCCTTTCCGTAGCTCACCGACACAGGCTCTGCACTGCTCCTCACAGTGCAGCCGAGGTCCTCGACGTAATCCTTCACGCCCGTTCTAATTAACAGCGGTTCTCCAGCCCCTCATTGACCCGTTTACTAGCGTGACTGTTTTTACCGTTCATACCGCAGCTCCTTGGTAGAAGGTGCTCTCCGTGATCTGTGCCCAGGGCTGCAGCCCGGATCCTTCTGCACTCGGACTGCCTGAGTCCTCCGCCTGGACCTGGTCTCGACTTGAAGCGGGTGGACTGGGCTCCAGGAATGCGCGGTGAAGCTGGCGCGAGCTCGCCGGGGTCGCGCTCGGACCCCAGAGGATGCTTACCTGGTTCGCACTCGGCCCGGAATTCGGGCTCCCAGGACTGCACTAGGACCTGGGCTCGGCTCCCCATAATTGCACTAGGACCCGGGCTCGGTTCCCCAGGATTGCACTCGGACTCGCCTCCGGGGTACGCGGGCTCGAGAGAATGCTTTGCGCAGCGACAGCGAAGGAGTCCGAGGCTGGGTGGTCAGCAGGGAGTCCCGACCAAGTTATCCCTCGACTCTCGTTTGAGGGGAGCTGCCGAGAGTCTGTGCAACGACCTGGCAGAGCCTGTGCTGCCTAAGTGACTCCTCCAGATCGGCTTAACCGCCCACAGACCGGGGTCTCCCTGGAGCTCGCGGTTGCTTCTCTTTAGTGAGAGAATTTGTGCCGCGCCGGGATCCACTCGAAACAAAACTACTTTTCCCTCTGCTGGTGACTGTCGGGAACTGCAAGCGAGCGATGAAATGCAGAAAGGCTTGCTTCCCTGCGGGCCGCTCAGCCTGGGGTCTTCCCTCCAATATAGGCTTTGGAAACGTGCACTACTTTTAAGCAGATTATTTTATTGTACTGTGTTTTGTTTTATATGGCACATTAAGAAAACGCAACTCATCTTAGGCTTTAGAGTCATTTCTCCACCTTATTTTATTTTGAAGTTTTATTTTATTTTATTTTATTTTTTTCAATTTTCTTAAAGCTTTTACTTTGAGACATCATGGAAAACACATAATTAGCAGTGAGGACTTGGGCGTCACCCCGAATCGTTATTTTCCTTACTCATAAGTTTAAGGCATTGAAGTTTTATTTTTTATGTGTAGGGATGTTTTGACTACGTGTTTGTCAGTGCACTACATGCATGCCTGGTGCCCAACGAGTCCAGAAAAGACCACTGGATCCCCTGGACCTGGAGGTACAGGTGGTTGTGAGCTGCTGGTCTACAAAGCGAGTTCCAGGACATCGGGGCTACACAGAGAAACCCTGTCTCAAAAACAAAACAAGACAAAAAAAACTAGAGCTCCCTTCTGGCATTTTTGGCCAGAGAACCAATGACATTTCTGGAGAAGCTATATTTTGATTTTTGGATTTTATCTGTTCCTGGACTCACAGTATGTGAGATAATCCTCTCAGAAAATGCTGGGCCTGGTAGTGCAAAGTCATGGAGGGAGCTGTTGACCTGAGGACAGAGCAGTGGCGAGTGGTGGGAAAAGGAATCAGGAGTTGGGGCTTAGGATCCAAGGGACAGATGCCGGGCACCTAGGCAGGTCTGTGTGGACCAACAGGAGAGTTACCTTGGCAACTTTGCCACCGAGAAGACAAGTAACAACTCAAGCAGAGCCGCTGAGTCCGCATCTGAACACAGGAGCGTGGCGCTCAGGGAGAAAGAGGCAGGTGAAGGACTGTAGGGCAGAAGGTGGAGGAACTTCTCTGCTTTATGGACTGGGGAAACAGATCAGAGTCGGGAAACGTGGTGTGGCCGCTCACACTAGTCATCTCAGGACTCAGTAGACTAAGGCAATGGGCAGGGTAAGATCAAGGATAGCCTGGGCTACAGAGTGAGTTTGAGGCTACCCTGGATTAAGTGGTGCATCTCTACCTCAAGAAAGAACAAACATTTCTTTAAGATGAAGTGGCATTGCATTTATGCTGGGTTAGTTAAGAGGACTAATGGGTTAACAATACATGTTAGTGTGTTAAGAAAAGCACCTGGTAGTCATACTCATTACAAATTATTTCCCATTCTATTTCAGATGGGAAAAGGCTAGGGTCTGTGGGAAAAAGCCTTAACATAACTTGCTAATTTGCTGTTCACCTTGAAAAAAAAAAAAAAGATGTTCTACCTTACACTTAAGAAAAGATCATACTTAATATTAGTTAAAGAATGTGCATGCCAGCCTGGTGCATGCCTTTAATCCCAGCACTCAGGAGGCAAGCGAATTGCTGTGAGTTGGAGGCCGGCTTGGTCTACATAGTGAGTTCCAGGACAGCCAGAGCCATGTAGAAAGACTCTGTCTCAAAAAGTTAAATAAGTGCATTCATTTTTTAAAATGTGCATGAAATAAGTCAAACTAGGGCTGGAGATGGATTGGCTAATTAAGGGCACTTGGTGGCTTAGCATTTAAAAGCACTGACTGTTCTTACAGAGGACCCGGGTTTTGTTTTTTGTTTTTGTTTTTGTTTTCTAGCACTCACATGGCCGCTCTCAAATATCTGTAACCGCGGTTCCAAGGGATCAGATACTGCACTCAAGTGATATAAGCAGCTAAGCACTCATACACATAATAAATAAAACAAAAAAGGAAAGCAAACTAGAAGAGTAAAGAAAAACACCTGGATGATAGTTAATTGATTAACCTTGTTAAGACACCCAGAAAATCTTGACCTGAGGGTTAGAAGCAAGACAGGAATGAAGTCAGTGAGGTTGGTGGAGCCTTGGGCTAGGGATCCTGTTCCCATTCTGGGTACAAGAACTTCGCTCTGGATGTTAAGAGGAACGACTCCACAAGCCAGAAGACAGAGAGCTTCAGACGCGACGCAGAGGAGGTCGGAACTTCTGAGTCGCGAATGCGTGTTTCCGGAGGGAGTTTGAGCGCGGAGACCCACTAAGAGAACCGATTTCCGGCATGGAGCTCTTCCGCGGCGTTTCGGCGGCCGGACGCACCAGCTATGCGGCAGAAGCACTACCTTGAAGCGGCGGCTCGCGGCCTGGTGGAGAGCTGCCCTGGCCAGGCCCGCTACCTCCTGTAGGTGAGGGATGGAGGGCGGGCGGGCGGAAGGGAGGGCAGCCACAGTGCCCCGGCCTCACGCCTCTCTCTCTTTTGCAGTTGGGCCTACAGTTCGACACACGGTAAGGAGGACGCCGGCTGCTGTCTGCACCATTCCACTGCTCCAGTGCCCCAAAAGAGAAGGCTGATCGACTTGTCTCATTAAAAAAAAAGTCCCAGGTTTCTCAATTGCATGAAAAACCCAAATCCTTTAATGTCTTAACCCTTAGCATTTGACACACTGGTTTTTTGTTTGTTTGTTTGATGTGTTTTTGTGCTTTCCCAGCGTGTATGTCTTGGTGTTGCAGAAGCCAGAAGAGGGCGTTGGATCCCCTGGAACTCGAGTTGTAACTGGTTGTGAGCCACCACGTGGATTCTGGGAATTAAACCCGAGTCTTCCCCTAGAGCAGCAATTACTCCTAACCCATGAGCCATCTCCCCAGTCCCTAGATCAGTTTTTATTTTAAAATTTTATTCTGCTAAGTGTATAAATTTTGCCCTCCTGTCTGTACCACTTGGAAGCCTGGTGACCAGAAGAGGATGATGAATCCCCTGGAACTGGAGTTACAGACAAATGTGAGCTGTGCTAAGTGGGTGCTGGGAATCGAACCTGGGTCCTTTGGGAGAGCAGCCAGCTCTTAACTGCTGAGCCATCTCTCTAGCCCACACATATTTCTCTGTGTGTATGTTTACGTGCCCAAAGAAGTGAATGTTTAGAAGCCAGAGAATAGCTTTGGGGAACAGATTCTATCCTTCTACTAGATGAGTTCCTGGGGATGAACTCTGGTCTTCAAGCTTGGTAGGAAGCTTGGTAGAAGCACCACACTGACCAACGTTTCAGAAGTAGTTTCCACCTGTCTTCCAGATATCTGCTTTCTCCTGTACCTCAGTGTACTTTGTTGGTTCTCCTAATCTTCCAAGATCCAAATATTGTGGTGTCCCCAGAACTCAGTTCTTGGATGACAATTTTTCATTCAGTCTTAGGGTTGGATACAGTATACTGAGATCTTCCTAATTCCAGCCTAGATCTCTCCTCCAGATTAGACTCACATCCTCTCACTGCCTTCCTGGCTTCTTGTTAATCACTAGTTCTTCCCACCGCAGTCAACAGTGATCCTGCCCTTACTCTGGAGCCATTCTTGACTCCCTAACATCACCTCTTCTCCTTGGTCCTCCTTGTGTGAGCCAATCACACTTTTACTCCATTGCTTCCAGCCTGGTCCAGTTAGTGCTTCCTTCCTAGATTACTGCTGTCCAATCCCTGCAGTCCATGTCTAAGCTAGATAAGCTCTGACATACTTCCAGCTTGTTCCGCAGCTCCAGCCACACCAGACCTGCTCCCTGGTGTGGTCCAGGGCTTTTCCAGATGCCAGGTCATGCCTGGAACTCGCCACTACTGCCTGCTGTCGTTTTTCTCTGCAGATGTTATCTGATGAAGCCTTCCCTAGCCACCCTTCTTTAATTACAATAACCAGACCAACCTCTGATCCCCCTCCTTAGCCCCAGCCCCGGCCCAGCACTTTGATGTTGTATGTCATCTGGTTGTCCTTTGTTCACATTCCCCAAAAGCACTGGTTGTACTAATTATAAGAGGAAGGGGTGGGGGAGGGAAACCCTATGCACTTCACTTTGTGGTAAATGTATTGATAACTAAGCAACAAATGGGCAAAGTAGTGAAAGCCAGCAACCTGCCCGTCTGCTGCTGAAGGAGTGGAGGGAGGGAATTTTGTAAAGTACATTATTGACACTTTGCTTTTATCAAGTTTCATACCTGGAGTTTGCTTCAAGAGACTATCTCCTGATGTCATCAGTATATTTTTCTTTTTCTCATTTATGATGCCAGTTGTTTGAGGTAACAAAACATGCTGACTTGTTAATTTGACTTATGTAATTGTAGAGGAAAACAGCACTTTTCAAGAAACATGTCCATACTGCTTCCAGTTGTTGGTTCTGGATAACTCTAGAGTCCGCCTCAAACCCAAGGCCAAACTGACACCCAAAATACAGAAACTTCTTCATCGAGAAGCAAGAAATCATGCACTGAGTTTTAAAGAAGCAAAAGTGTTGAGAAAATACCAAGAGTCCACAAGTGTGCTGGTAAGGTTACAGCTCTGGAACATAGAAACATGGTGTCATTTTGTCTTCTTTCCCTTAGACTGGAAATCAGCCTGCCAGCAGGGAGTTACAATGATATATCTGGACTGTCTAGAGTACACACATAATGTTTCTGTGATAGCAAGTCACCAAGGGCATGCTTCCTCTTATTTATTTAGAGACAGGGTTTCTCTGTGTAGCCCTGACTGTCCTAGAACTCACTGTGTAGACCAGGCTGGCCTCGAACTCAAGAGATCTGCCTGCCTCTGCCTCCTGAGTGCTGGAATTAAAGGCTTGGGCCACCACACCAGCTAGTTTATTTTTATTTTTGATAACTGCCTAAAAACCAAAGGTTGACAATCTTACCTGCTCACGTTACTGTTGAGCACAGTATTTTCAGTTTTGAGAATTCCTTGTGTTTGTCAGTGTACCTCACAGGATCAGTCACCACTTAATCATTTCTTCAGTGATCAATGCTTTCCTCCACAACCTTCTATATGAAGTCCCACTATTAGCATGTAATTCTTGTCCACCCAGCAAAGTGTTTAATAGCGGGGTAAAAAATGGAATAAAACAAAAATTCCCTAGGGCCCACTATCAGGTATATTTTCTATCTTGCATGCTCTGTGTGAAGAGTATCAGCTTACTCAAGTGCATGTAGGCACTGGACATTCCAATAGCTTAGGTCTGGCCTAGACAGGGTCTTGCTATGTAGCCTAGACTGGCTTTAAACCTACTGTGTAGCCTAGGCTGACCTCAACCAATGAGCCTCCTGCCACAGGAAATGATAGAAAACATCGCTGCAACATATTTGGAAAATGTTCCTACAGGAAAGTAAGTCTTCTGAGGTTTTACTTTGCTGAAGTATACTCTACTATATTTTAGTTAGAGATCACTAGAAAGGCTCAGGGGATGTTTCGCTGATTTATCTTAATCTG